GTGCTGCTGCTGGGAAGGCCAACACCGAAAAGAACAAAGTAATCATCCCCCCTGCCCCCCCCCACACGTATGAAGCCCCTGCCAGAAGCGCCCATGAAGTAAGAGGAGGGAGTGCTACCAAGTTGCTGTGAAGAGCAAGTGTGGGAGTCCCCACCCAGGGAGGGAGGTCGAGCCCCACAGGGGGCTTTGCAAGGCCCGGCCTGCACCAGGGTTTACGCCGAAACTTAGTGAGCCTGGGTCCAGCCTCGGTGGCTCAGTGGTTGAGCGTCGACCTAGGAACCAGGAGGTCAGGGTTCGATCCCAGTCAAGGGCACAGGCCCGCGGTTGTGAGCTTGATCCCCAGTGTGGGGTGTGCAGGCGGCAGCTGATCAGCGATTCTCTCTCATCATGGATGTTTCATTCTCTCTCTCCCCTCCTTCCTCTCTAAAATCAATAAAATAAAATTTTTTAAAAAAAGGAACTTCATGAATCTTGGTGGATATGGTGCCATTGGATACCATCCTGGAAAGGATTTTCTCTCAACTCCAAAGACAGTGGATTAGGCACCAATTCACAAAGGCCGCCCCACAAGCGCCTCTGCTGATGGTGGAGGTTCAGATGGACGCGCCCGGGGGACCCTGTGGAATTCCTTCCGTGTGTTTATTCTTTCCAGGCTGACGCAGTCGTGGAAGGTTGTCCTGAGTGTGGTGCTGGCGCTGACTCTCCTCCTCGTCGGTAAGCCGCCCTAAGCCATGGTCCTCAGGCCACTTCAGGGCGTCTGTGTGTGGAGACCACGGCGGGAGGACCGCGTAAATGACACGGAAGTCGCCGGAGGTGGCTGCACACGCCTGAAGCTGTTTTTGTTTTTTTTTTAATTGTGAAAGCAGGGGTTTTTTCCTTTTCTTTTTATATATATCTTTATCAGTTTCGGAGAGGAAGGGAGAGAGAAACATCAATGATGAGAGAGAATCATTGATCGGCTACCTCCTGCACTCCCCCTACTGGGGATCGACCCTGCAACCCAGGTATGTGCCCTTGACGGGAATTGAACCCGAGACCCTTCAATCTTGAAGTAGCAACGAAAATAATGTTATGGTGGGGGTCCCCACAGCATGAGGAGCTGTATTGAAGGGTCGCGGCATCAGGAAGGTTGAGAACCACTGGGCTAGGGCAAAGCAGACTTCTTTATTGAAAACTCAGAAAGCACTTTTTTTTCTCTCTTAACATCACGGTTTAAAAACAGAAATTGCTTTAACATTAAAACCTGACGTTTTTATTGCAGACACATTCCATTGACCTTTTCTAACTCTGAGTGACTCAGCAAAGACTATCACTCATCACAGGATTCTGGACAAAATGGCCGTGAATGATCGGCGAGCAGTTTCCTGAGTGTCTGTATCACACCCCCCCCCACCTCCACCCCCACTTCAATCCCACTCCCACCCCCATACACTGGGAAATTGCTCTTCAATTTATGGGCCACGGGAAGATAGGATGCCCATGGAAACCAAGGCTTCCACCCAGTTACGGCCAGGAAATGCCACCCGATAACCGGGCAGCACTCGAGGTGCTGTTTGCTGGGACTGCAAGCACAGGGGTCTCTGGGGTCTTTTCTGAGCATGCGCATGGCACCCCTTTTCCTTCTCACGCCCTTTGCCTCCTCCCTCCAAGCTTTCGTGTCTGCCACTCCCTCATTCTCTGTCCCCTGCCCGGGTGGGCATAGCCAATTTATGACTCGAAATCTTTCAACAGACACTGCGGCCTCCCAGAAAGCCATTCTGGCCCCAGGGAGCGGGGAAACGAAAGGCCAGCTCTAACCAGCTGGCCAGGGGGCACTGCCAGCTCCCAGCTCAGTCACCACCGTTTAAGAACAAGGTCTGGCCCGGCCAGCGTGGCTCAGTGGTTGAGTGTCGACCTATGAACCGGGAGGTCACGGTTTGATTCCCTGTCAGGGCACGTGCCCGGGGTGCGGGCTCGATCCCCAGTGTGGGGCGTGCAGGAGGCAGCCCATCCATGATTCTCTCTCATCATTGATGGTTCTCTCTCTCTCCCCCTCTCCCTTCCTCTCTGACATCAATCAAAATATATTTAAAACAAAACAGAACTAGGTCAGTGTCGCCTGCTGACACCAGCAGCTGAACCCGCGGCCCCGCCTCACCGTGGCTGTGGGAGGAGGCGGGCAGGCGAGCAGAAAGGCCGTCATCCTCCCCTCAGGGCCTGCCCTTTCCCTCAGCCCTGGGTGCGCTGTGGTGTTTGGATTTGACATCAGAATTCCCAGAGCGTCGGTCCCGGTCCTCTTGGCTGACGGGGAGGGAGGACCTGGTTCTCAGCACCTTGTGTTGTCCGTCACCCAAGGGTCGGTGCTCCTCCGAGGAGAGAGCCCTGCTGATGGGTGTAAAGCGCCGCGCCCGTGTCCCGGCCACTCCCCCACCGACCGGTCTTCCCGCACAGGGTTCCGGAGCCACGTGTGGCCGGGAGGACGCTCCGCCCAGAAGCCCCGGCGGCTCTACACCGTGATCGCAGAATACGGCTCCCGGCTCTCCAACTACCAGGTGATGCTGGCTAGATCATGGGAGTCGCTCACTGAGGCTGGATTGCTACAGGGCGGGTGTAGGTGCGATGTCCTCCGTGTTTGCACGTGGCATCTCGTGGAGATAAAGCGGGACCAGAGTCTGTTCCGTGGTTCCCCCCCAAGGCAGTAGCTCTCAGGAGGAGGGGTCCCTCTGGCCTTCACTCCTGAGCTCTGTCCCCGCCCCCCCACCCCGCCCAGAGGCTGATGGTGGCTCTTTCTATAGTCTCTTCAACGATGCATAACAGCGGTTTATGGCTGACTAATAACACCATAAATCATGTACTCAGCTCTGACTAGTGTGCTCAATGGTTAGAGTATTGACCTGCACACTGGTGGGTCATGGGTTCGATTCCCTGTCAAGGTCAAGTACCTGGGTTACAGGTTCAATCCCTGGCCCTGTTGGGGTGCATGCAGTAAGCAACCAGTAGATGTGTGTCTCTCATGTCGACGTCTCTCTCCCCCTCACCCCCGCCCTCCCACTGTCTCTAAAAACCAATGGGAAAAATACCCTTGGGTGGGGATTAACACATACAAACAAACAAAAACAATGCACCCAACACAGACTTCCACATGCTAGATTGTTTGCAATTTTCCGACATAAACATAAATGCCACTGGGCTCAGTCTTTCCACCATCCTCTCGGTTGTTCGCTTGGGGTCAGTTCCTAAGAGAAGAGTCACCGTTTCCAGGTGACCCTTGAGCCGGCATCGCCGTGACTTCATGCCACTTCCAAAGCGGCTTCCACCTCCCCGTGTGCCACGGCTACCGGACGGTGACAGCGTGGCACCGGAGGGCTGGATGCACAGTGCCTGCCTGCTCACTGACCTCAAAGTGACCCCTTAGTGAGAAGACCACTAAACGCACGTGTGGGTGAGGAGGCCAACTCAGGACGACTAGGGGACTCCACGCGTGTGAGCGCAGCACACTGTCCACTCTGGACCCAAAATCCACACCAGACGTTCAGAGCCCGGCCGCGGTCTGAGCTGTGGGCAGCGTATGTGGAGGACACAGCCTGCTGTCACACAGGGCGCGGCCTCAGCCACCACATCATCACGGTCACGGCCAGCGAGGAGCTGAGGCCCCGTGATCACAAAGCACTTGCTGCCAGCAGGGCATTGGTTGGCAGCGAAACCCTGCCTGGAGCAGCTGTCATTTCCCCGGGGGGCAGCCCTGACACGGCTAGATTCCCCAGAAGTGATCTGGTTTAACTTGAGGTATCAGGTCTGGCCAGTGTGGCTCAGTAGTAGAGCGCAGGGTTGCGGGTTTGATTCCCAGGCTCTAGTCAGTCCTGAGTGGGAGGCAACCAATCGATGTCTCTCACATCGATATTTCTCCCCCTCTCCCCCTCTGTGCCTCCCACTCTCTCTAACAATCAACGGAAAAAATATCCTCGGGTGAGGATTAACCAACCAACCAACTGGCAACAAGAGCAATACTTGGGGTTTTGGGAGGAACAGGCAGGATTCAGATGCTTTCTTTTTCCAGGCGCAACGTCAGATGCCCAAGGAGCAGCGGGAACTCTTCAAGTGAGTGAGGCACTCGGACACGTCGGCCTGTCCACTGTGGCTCCAAATACTGACGTGTTTTTGTAAAATCAGAAAACGATCGTCATTTCTGCGTCTGTAGATAATTGTTTAACAGTGAAGGTGCCTTCAGTATCATTTATGATTCAGACAGTGGAAAGATAAGGAACCCGGCGGTGGGGGAATGAGTAACAGCCCACCCAGCCCCAGGGAGCCACAGGAATGTCTGAAATAGACAATGTTTGGGGCGGTGCCTGGGACACAAAATTGTAACGATGGTCTCCACTCTGTTGCATAGAATGAAACTTGCACACGCACTAAAGTGCCACAGTGCTTATCTCTCCAGAGGTTGTGCATTTTCCAAATTGGGAACATGGGTTGTTCTACAAATTGGAAAAGTAATAGGAGATTTGTGTTTACCTTTTCTCCACAAGAGAAATACCTATTGGCTTGACATGACCAGGAATTTTCAGACGGTAAAGGTAGCAGAACCCCTTTGCTAAGGGAAAATCTGGCCCCGGGCTGGGCCCTCCTCCACCCCTCGCCTGAGGCTGGTCCGAGGCCCTGCAGGTTGCTCTGTGCCACACTCCAGGCCGGTGCTCCTGTGGTGGGAGGGGTGGGTGTGGGCACGTCCTCGCCAGCCTCAGGTCAGGGCAACAGGGCTCCGGAGAGACAGGAACCGTGAGGTTGACCAAGCCCACTCCCTGCTCCGAGCTCCCGGGCCCTCGTGGCCTCCCCGAGTCCTCGCTTTGCACAAGTGCTGAGATGTGGTGCCCCCTGGGCTCCCTGCCCTCAGGGTTATCTTTCTGCTCTTTGCCCCAGAGCACAGCACCCCCTGGAAGCCGGCCTCTCCCTCTTCTCACACGGGGGTGGGGGGGTCTCCATTCACAGGAAGGAGAGCCAGACTTTGGAAAGCAACTTGCGTGAAATTCTACTTTTAATGGAACAAATCGATGTTCTGAAGGCATTGCTGAGAGATACGCGGGCCGGTCTGCACAATTACAGCTGGAGCCCCGAGGGCGACCCCATGGAGGCCCAGGGCCAGGCGGAGGTCATGGACAAGGTGAGTGAATTTCTAACATGGGCAACCATGCACTTTCTGTAACTAACTTACCTCCTAAATGGCGATAGAACGTTCCAGTCTTCGTTAGCGAGCAGAGACGGCGGTGAAGGAGGGGACCCAACAGGTCGCACGGGCAGTGCCATCTTGCTGGGTGGTCATAAGGGCCTTGGAGGGGCTGGAGGTCTGACGTGCTCTGTGACCTGGGGGGGGGGGGGCGGGGGGAGGGAGCACAGTCAGCTCCCTGGGACGCACTGAGCCCACCAAGCTGTGCAGGTGAGACTGCAGGGCCCGCCCACCTGCGGCTGGTAAACACTCATTATTATTATTACTCTTCTGTAGGTGAGGGGCCCAGGGTCCGCAGGCACAGAGCGCACGGTCCAGACTTCAGCAGTCGGCAGGGACTTAACACGGTTTTTAAATTTGTGCAGGAAATGTCGAACTTGGTAAACTATGTGCTTAAGAAGCTGAGAGAAGACCAAGTCCAGATGGCGGATTATGCCCTGAAGTCAGCAGGTGAGTGAGGAGGGAAAACGCTTCAACAGTGTCTCTGTTCTTCTATTTCTCTCTGTTTCTTTCTTTCTTTTTCAATATTTTGTTATTTTTTTTCCAAGAGGAAGGGAGAGGGAGAGAGAGAGAAACATCAATGATGAGAGAGAATCATGGATCAGCTGCCTCCTGCACACCTCCTACTGGATCTTGAGCCCACAACTTGGGCATGTGCCCTGACCGGGAATCAAACCCTGACCTCCTGGTTCATAGGTCAATGCTCAACCACTGAGCCACACCAGCAGGACTCTCTATATTTCCTTATTAGGAGAACATGTAGCTACCTGGTCATGTGGGAGGGAGAGAAATGAACACATCCAGACAGGAAGGAGAATAGAAATGGTGGTTGTTTGCTCCGAGTTGGTGCAAATCTCAGAGCAAACATGGAGTCGCTTCGTTAGCGTGGAAAAGGCTGCAGAGAAAGCTGGGTTCCCAGCGCCTCAGGGGCAGCCATTAGGTTCACGTCACAGGCAGTAGAACCCTTTATACTTTTGCACTAAAATCACCAAAAAAATCTAGAACTAATCAGTAAGGTTAAGTTAAATTCTATATATACAGTTTTCAGATATTAGTCATAAAAGATTGGAAAAAGAAAAACAGTACTATTGGGAGGAGGAGGGTAAAGGCGGGGATGGGCGATACTGTAATACTAGCAGCAGTAAAAATTATGTTTAAAAAGAAAGGAACAGCACTATTCACAACAGTCATTAAAACACACACACACACATAAAATACTTAGGCCTAAAGCCTCCCCTGTCACATGAGCGGTTAAAAGGGGTCCCTGTGCCTCTGGGAACAGCCGCCCACCACAGTCCCGTCTCTAAAGCAGTGGCCTCAGGGTCCGTGTTTGATCACAACAGCGTTTCCAAAATGCTGTGAAACTGCTCAACACACACGGCCCAGTCCTCATTTTCCAACAACATCATCGAAACCCACACAAGGTGTTTTGAGTTTTTTACCTTTTTAGTTGAAAAACTATGTGATCACTTTAGGAGCCTCCATCATTGACACTGGGACCTCGGAAAGTTATAAAAGCGACAAAGCAAAGCTGTACTGGCACGGGATCGGGTTCTTAAACCATGAAATGCCTCCAGAGAGCATCCTCCAGGTGAGAGCTAGACGGCGAGCAGCCTGTTTGTAGTTTAGAATTTTGTTCATATTTTTATTCTGAAAACATTAATGCCTAAAATGGGAGCAACTCTGCACGTGTCACAGGACCTGAACCTACCTCCCTGAGTATTCATAGTCATCAGGTTACACGAGTTCATCCTTATTTTATGGTCAGTAAACTGTGATTGATTAATTACTAATGTATTATTTGAAGGTCGGTAAATTAGATGATGAACGTCTCACACAGGACAGACACAGTCTGCATCTTTACGTGGCTCCGTGGCCCCCTTTCCATCAACACGTTCCGTCCCAGCCCACAGTTGCTGAGGGTCCGTGCCCCGAGTGCCTGTGCTGAGCCACATGCTTCAGCCAGCACATTGTTAGCAAGTCCAGTAACAACAGGGGAAAGTTCCAGATAAAATGTCCACGAACTTCACTTCGAAAGGCATAGACAGCAACAGGTGGCAGAGCTCTCCTACTAGAGCCTACACAACAATTGCAGTTGGTTTCCAATTGCTAAATACCTTCAGGGCAAACCTGTAAATCTCATCCCAGAGACAGTCTAGAGCAGTGGTTCTCAACCTTGGCTGCACATCAGAACCACTGGTCTAGAGCTAGGAAATGGTACATCTTTTATTTCCCTGAACACCAGGACCAGCACCATTCTCACTATCACCACCATTAACATCTCCATCACCACCACCATCACCATCACCATCACCATCACCATCACCATCACCACCACCACCCTCACCACCACCCTCAACACCACCACCACCCTCACCACCATAATCACCACCCTCTCCACCACCACCCTCTCCACCACCACCATCACCATCACCACCACTACCACCACCATCACCACCACCACTACCATCACCTCCATAACCATGATCACCATCACAGTGATCACTACCACCACCATCAATACCTCCTCTACCCTCAGCACCTCCAGCACCCCATCACCACTCATACCAACTAACTGCCTTCCAGTAGCTTCTAGTCCAGTTCGAACACTGAGGGAAAAGATTCTCACATAACAAAGGGCTCTAACAGATATAAGCAGAACGTGAGCTGGCAGGACAACCAACCCTACAGGTGTCTGAAGTTCTCCTGTTTGACACGCATCCCAGGCAGGGCCTTCAGAACTGTGGTTGCCAACCTTTGAACCTCAGGGACCACCAGCAGTCCGCGCACCACTGGTTGGTGACCGCTGCTTTAGAATTATAGGCGTAAGCGAGACCTGTGGTCAGTAGCGACCAGCTGGCCAATATTGTGGGTGGATGTGTGTAACCAGGTAAGAGATGAGCTCTGTCTTCTTTCCAGCCGGATGTTCACCCTGGAAGGTGCTGGGCCTTCCCAGGTTCTCAGGGCCACGCCCTGATCAAGCTCGCTGGCAAGATCATCCCCACCTCGGTGACCATGGAGCACATCTCTGAGAAGGTGTCTCCCTCGGGAAGCATCTCCAGCGCCCCCAAGGAGTTTTCTGTCCACGTGAGAATCCCCCTGAATCTCCGTTCAGAGAGGATAGGGGAGAGGGCGGTGGGCCAGGAAGGAGGAGCTGGGGTCTGAGCTGTGCAGCGGACCGTTTGTATCACTGGGACCAAGTCCCGTGTTTCCCAGGCTCCACTTTGGAGCTACGCAGTGAGCGGGTTGGACCAGGTGATTTCTAGCACCGAATTTTACTCTATCAGACTCAGACATGTAGAATGAAAACATCGACATTTCCACGTTATAACAAAACATGGTTTGTCCTTGTCCCACTTCTGCCCCCGACATTTACTCTCTGGAAGCTTCCACTTGAAACTGTTCTGGCTGAAAATAATGATTTAGGTTCCTGCCACCTTCGTATTTGCTTTTACTAATTTCTTGACTTTTCGGGTTTGGTTATTGTCTACTGAGGTTCTCCGATGGGAAATGACCAGCTCTCTTCCATGGCTTCCCAGCCTCAATGTTTGTGTCTTAATTATGGAGACATAATTCACACGCACATAATTCATCCATTTAAAATGTACGCGTCAGTGGCTTTGGTATATGCACAGATCTCTGTATCCATCACCATCATCCATTTGACCATACTTTTGTTATTCCACAAAGAAACCCTGTACCTCTTAGCTGCCACCTCCCACCACCCACTCCCTCCGTCCCCCAGCCCTGGGCAGCCACCAATCTACTGTGTCTCCATAGACCGGCCTTCTGGACGCGTCATATAAATGGAATCACCTGTGTGGTCTCTTGTGAATGGCTTCTTTCACTTGGTACCGTGTGTTCAAGGTTCACCTATGTTATATAACGTGCCAATATTTTGCTTTTTAAATTGCGTTTTACTTATCCATTTGTCATCTGATGGACCTTTGAGCTGATTCCACGTGTTCGGCTATTTGCACAGTGCTGCTGGCACCCGGCACCCCAAGGCACCTGGAGAATGGGCGCCGCTTGACCACACAGCGGCCCCGTTGACTTTGACGGAGAATCCACTCCTTGCAGCCTCCTTCAGTTATTTATGGTCAGCAAAGTAGGGTCCCGAATTTTTTAGAAAAACTATGGCCAGAGAAAAGTTCAAGCATTCCCTCGGTCGGTTTGTGTATAACAAAACAGGAACCACCGTGCAAACATTTGAGCTGCAGGTAACGAGCGCCCGGGTTAGGCTGCGCATGGCTCTGTCCCTGGGAGGGGTGTGGGGGTTTGCATTTAGGGTTTCATAGATAGGTAGATAGAGATAGATGTATATTCACCTGCTCAGCCCTTCCCTTACCTGTTTGGTTCCCTCAAAGCTATTAGGTTAGATAGTCACTGTCTCACCTTCTGTGTGATGTGTTGGAGGCAAAAAGGAAGTCAGAGGGAGAGAGAATAAATACTTGATACCAGATAAGGCAGGTAAACTTCTCTTCTTCACTCAGTGGGAAAAAACACCAGCTGTTATGCTGGCCGGCAAGGCTCAGTGGTTGAGCGATGACCTCTGGACCAGGAGGTCATGGTCTGATTCCTGGTCAGGACACATGCTCGAGTTGTGGGCTAGGTCCCTAATGCGAGGCGTGCAGGAGGCAGCCAATCCAAGATTCTCTCTCATCATGGATGTGTCTATCTCTCTCTTTCCTTCTCCCTTCCTCTCTGATTTCAATAAAATATATTTTTAAAAAGAAAGAAAAATAGCAGCTGTTAACATGTAACCCCTCCTGAAGTCGTTAAGGCATCCTCCTATATAATAAAACCTTAGTATGCAAATTGACCAAACGGTGGAACGACGGTCACTATGATGTGCACTGGCCACCAGGGGCAGATGCCGAATGCGGGAGCTTCCCCCTGGTGGTCAGTGTGCTCCCACTGGGGGAACACCGCTCAGCCAGAAGCCAGGCTCACAGCTGGCGAGCACAGCAGTGGTGGTGGTGGGAGCCCCTCCCGCCTCCGCTGCAGGCGGGCAGTAAGGAGGGAGGGGTTCCAGACTGCGAGAGCCCTAGACTGCGAGAGAGATGTCTAACTGCTGGGGATCAGGCCTAAGCTGGCAGGTGGACATCCCCCAAGGGGTCCCAGGCTGAGAGAGGGCACAGGCTGGGCTGAGGGAACCCCCGCCCCTGGTGCATGAATTCTGTGCACCAGGCCTCTAGTGTGAAATAAAATCTCATTGCTTCTCATCAGCCACAGGGAGTAGTGAGATGGAGAGGGCACCTCCCACCATTAAAACAAGGGTTTTAGGACACTGCTCAGCCAATGGGGAAGAAGCAATGTTAGAAATGAATGTACCTGTGGAGTTTCATATTTGATTGAGTATCTGTGTGTCTCCCTCCCACCGTGGGGTGGCCAGCAGGCAGCTCTGTGGGGTGTGGCAGTGGCAGTGCCCATGGCAGTGGGAGCCCGTGGCTGTCCAGGCCACCTTTTCTTCTCCTCGCCCTGCGTTTGTCCTCTTAGGAGCTCTTTATTTATAGTGGCTCACTTCTCATCCATTAGAGCAGTGCTTCTCAACCTGTGGGCCGAACGACCCTTTCACAGGGGTTGCCTAAGACCATCAGAAAACACATATATAACTACATATTCTTTTTGTGATTAATCACTATGCTTTAATTATGTTCAATTTGTAACAATGAAATTGGGGGTCACCACAACATGAGGAACTGTATTAAAGGGTCGCAGCATCAGGAAGGTTGAGAACCACTGCGTTAGAGCCTGTGTGATTGCACTTAAGGCAGGAAAGAGTTCCTTGCCCGTTACAACCGAATTCCTTAGGACCCTTTGAGATGGGTTTCTTGATAAGCCATTAATTTTCTCTCTTCTTTTTTTCCAGCATGAAGTGTCTGAGCCCTTATTGTGTGTGAAACTTAGAATCCTCAGCAACTGGGGACATCCGAAGTACACGTGTTTGTACAGATTCCGGGTCCACGGCCGCCCCGGGGGCCACAGCTAGAGGGTCTGGTGCCCACGGCCACGGGTCCGGAATACTCCTGTTCTTCTCCCTTAGATCTTCCGCACGTGTAGAAATCGAATAGAGGGTTCACACTTGCCCGTAAAAAGTGAATGAATTTTACTAATAAAAACTGTGAAAGTGGTTTCAATCTCCTGGTGATGGTTTCACTTTTGAGGATGAATCATGTTGGAACATTAACAAATGAATTTGTCTAGAAAAAGATGTATCATTTCACGGTCTTTCATTTTTGTTTGTTTGTTAATCCTCAACCGAGGATACTTTTCCATTCAATTTTATTTTGATTTTTTTCCATAGAATTTTAGAGAGTGGAAGGAAGGGGGAGAGACAGAAAGAAACATTGCAATGTGAGAGAGACACATCGATTGGTTGCCTCTCACATGCGCCCCAACCAGGGCTGGGGATGAGCCTGCAACCAAGGCTCGTGCCCTTGACCGGAATCGAACCCTTCAGTCCACAGGCCAATGTTCCATCCTCTAAGCCAGTGGTTCTCAACCTCCCTGATGCTGCAACCCTTTAATACAGTTCCTCATGTTGAGGTGACCCCCAATTTCATTGTTACAAATTGAACATAATTAAAGCATAGTGATTCATCACAAAACAGTATGTAATTATGTATGTGTTTTCTGATGGTCTTAGGCGCCCCCTGTGAAAGGGTCGTTCGACCTCCAAAGGGGTCGCGACCCACAGGTTGAGAACCGCTGGTCTA